AGAGTGTGTGTGTGTGTGTGTGTGTGTGTGTGCGTTTATGTGGTTTATGAGGACACAAATTTGTATAATGACATGGGTATGACATAGGTATTACAACCAGAAGGTGATTTATGAGGACATTTTCAGTATCCCTGTAATTCAAAAGGCTTATAAATAATTCAGAATGAGTTTTTTTGAAAATCTAAAAATGCAGAAAGTCTCCTGTGAGGTGTAGGTTTAGGGGTAGGGTTGGTGTAGGGCAACAGAATATACGGTTTGTACAGTACAAAAACCATTACGCCTATGGAGAGTCCCCATAAACCATAAAAACAAACCTGTGTGCGTGTGTGTGAGAGTGTGTGTGTGTGTGTATGTGTGTGTTGACTGACCTGCTTTGGCAGTGTAGCAGTTGGTCTCGGAGGCAACGCAGGACACTTGGGAACTGAATAAACATTTGCCTAGAATGCCCACTTTACAGGAATTACACGTCAGGGCTTCACCTGGAGAAACACAGAACGACAACAGGAAAATAAATTAGCATTCTTGTAAACTTCTGGACATATCCCTCCCCCAAAAGGTCTGGGTAATCCTGATTGAGTAATTCAGTAACCAATATTCCAATATTTCCCACCCTCTATCACAAGCATTTTTCTGATGCTTCAACAATATCTACTTTATTTATTTTACTGTAATTAATTAAAACCACTTCAAGAAAAAATTAGATTAGGGAACACATATGTTTCCCTCAGTGTGTTTTTCCTCAGTAAACTCTTAATTACTGGTTATTGATAGTGCATAATGTAGTTGTCTTGTAGTTATAGTAGTCAACCCTATTTGTAGTAGGGTTAAGTCATCTAAAATATGGTCATGCAGAGTAAGACATTAATATGTGCTTAATGTGTATAAGTACTAATAAACAGCTAATATGCCTGCTTATAAACAACTACTTAAGTGAATCGTGTCTAGACATCTAAAGTGTCACAAAAAATCCCTGTTTAATGGTGTGTTTTAAGTCAGAAACATTACAGTAAAACTCTTCCTTAATAACCTTAACAATGTTTTTTTTTATTTGATGTAACAGATCCTCTTTTTGCTCTTACAAATACACTTAAAACACACTGAAAAAATTATTGCCATCATTACAACAATGTCCTCAAACAAATGCCAGCCATGTATACTGTGCTATATTCAGCTGAAAATTCAGCTTAGCCATCACAGGAATAAATGACATTTTAAAATATATTCAAATATAAATGTATTTTAAATAATAGCAATAGTTTTCAGCGTTATGTCTTTGATTGTATTTTAATCAAGAAAATGCAGCCTGGAGAGCAGAAGATGCTTCTTTAAAAGCATTAAAGAATCTGAATTATGTCATTAATTAAGGGAGGAGATGAAAAAGGACCTATTTCTCTGTAGACTTACTGAGAGTGAGAAATCCAATCGCTGCAATGACTCCAAGCACAATTCTGATCATCATGTTGACGACGCGTTCAGCAGAACTGAATTCTGACAGCAGAGAAACTCTTCGGAGGACAGCAGGCACACTGAATGCTGGTCCGAATCTGTCCAGATATATGGCCGTGATAGAGAGGGTGGGGTTTTTTAGACAGAGGGGAGACAATGAATATGTGCAGGTGGAAAGACGCATATGAATGTGAAGAATGAACAGAGCAATCTGGTTTGGGGAGTTAAGAGATACCTGATTATTGACACACACACACACTCACACATGTAATTAATTATATCAATTGGGACAATTTGTAGACGTAGATTGTAGATTTTTTGTTTATAGTTGGTTATAAATGTTGTAACAAACCCTAACCCACACCCTGAAAGAAAATATTCTTACATTGAAAAGAAATGTACCCAAAAGGAGGTGTGTAGTATTATGAAGTAGTAATGCAGTAGGCACACACACACACACACATACACACACACACACACACGCGCTGTAGACACGCAGTGACTGTGATTTTGTACACTGTGTTCCTAAATCAAGATCTTTTGTTTTGTCTCAATATAATAAATTAATATATTGTCTCAATATATCTGAGCATAAAGTACCCACAAGTGGAAAATGATAGGTTGATAACACGTTGGTAGTGTTGTTGAAGCCTCAACGCTAAATGTAAAAATACATATTTTAATTTAATTTTCCCAGCACGCTCTAAAAAAAAACATGCATGCACAAAATTGTAAATTATGTTCATTTGAAGCCTTTTCCAGCAAATATTGACATCTGTATATTTGAATTAAATAGGTTAATGTCATTGATGCTATTAATGTTGAAATAACAAAGAGTGAAAAATTTAAGGGGGTCTGAATACTTTCCGTACCCACTGTAAATACACAATGCCAGACCCTCCGTCTCAGGTTTTGACAGTGGGGTTGTTCATTAGTTTCATGTTTGTCCCGAATCTCACTCCAGCAATGGGCAGAACATGGACAACAGAAGTTTTGCTCCAGTTCAGGATCTTTTTAGCAGAACTATTTTCTTTACACAAACTAGTAAAGTTAATCTGCCCCTCATAGCTCATGTTACTGTACACTGAACAGTTAAAACGCATTTACTGTTAGAGGATTTTTGATTAGATTTTTCGTTTACACTTTATTTTGATAGTCCACTTTAGACATTCTACTAACTATAAGTAACTACATGTCAACTAATTCTCATTAATTTGCAACTACATGTCTACTAACTCTCAGAGTAGACTGTTAGGTTAGGTTTAGGGTTAGTAGAATACGTTTCTCATAGTCAGTGTGTTGTATGTTGTGGACCCATCAAAATAAAGTGTTAGAGGATATTAAGCAGACAGTCTACTAATACTCCAATGACTGCTAGTTGACATGTAGTTGCAATGTTACTTACTGTTAGAAGAATATCTAAAGTGGACTGTCAAAATAAAGTGTTACCCAATTTTCTTGTAGGGGAGAATGAGTTAAGTTTAGAAAGAGAATAAATGAGCCGCTCCCTGTATCTAAGAAAACATAAACAAAAGTAATCATGTGATTGCATATTAGGATGTATTCGTCACAATAGTCAATCCATCTTCAAATCACATGAAGAGAGAGCTTTAAGCAAACCAAAAAATGTTGCCATTCATCACATGATTCAAGTTATCAGTCTTGCATCTTAAATAAAAATTATTATAAAATAAGATGTAATAAAAAAAAAAGGTTTGGCCATTGTCACATGTGAATTTCTGTCAGTGTAAGCGACAAAACATCATAGCTTAAGTGGATCTGAGCCAATGTATAACAAGTTTTGTCAAAATGGAGGTTGTGGGTTAAATTGTGCATCGTGTGTGTCATGAGTCAGTGGCTGACGATACTGATGTAATAAATACCTGCTGATTGTTGACTAATGCTGCCTTGCGCAAGTATTACGTCTTATAAAGTAAGCGGTCATATTCGTCAGCTCATGAATACATTCAAACAGAACACAGTACAGAACTTGCAGGACTCGTCTAGTCACTGTGAAACTCAAGAAGGACACAGACATCAATAACAAACCACAGGAGATAAACAATTTTATTGCTCTTATATTTGCAATTTATACACACATCATGATGGCAACTAAAACAGGTCATTTGTCAAAGCAGGCCACAGCGTTCAGTGGAGGCTACTGACGGCAGACCTCCAGAAAAACATTCATTCTTGCCCTTTTCGTACATTTATTTCAATAAAGAATATCATCTTTACCAAACAAATCAACAAAATATAAAAACACCACGTTGATAGCTTTACAAATTTTACAAAAATGGCTTTGATGAACCTTATGTTTAAAAATGAAGAATGTCCTGTGTAAATGAATAGGCATGTACAATACATCGGATAAACCCCCCAACATTTAAACTAAATGATTTCATAAGCTTCATTCATGCAATTATGATTTGACAGCCAAACCCTCTGGTCTTATTAGGAGACCATGTAATATAAGTGAAACGCAGAGACATCAGGAGAAATAAAATAATAAAAATACACAGCAAACTGCTATCAAAAAAGGTTTATTTAGGGTATTATTATTATTATTATTATTATTAAGGGTATCATTCAAACGCCCCTAAAGAAAGGTAAAACAATCTGTTTGATTGCATGCTGACATATGTGTGTGTATGTGTAATTGTATTAAAAACTGTATATTGCTGGTTTTAATGAATGTTAGTTGGGTGAAGTGCTTATCTATAGCCAGAATAGTTTTCATTGCTGACATTAAATTAATCCCTGCTATGTTTCTATGTAGAGAAATGTTAAATTGATGGTATGTTGAACTTATCACTACTTGGAAATTTACTGAAAACTTTTCATATTCCAGTGTGTGACCTATTTTGAGTAATCATTCCATAAATGGTTTTGCAACAAATTAATTTGGCTTGTTTAGTATGCATGATTTGCTCAGTGATGTTGTGTATATATATATATTGTGTGTGAGCTGAACTAATCCTCCTCAGATGAGGAATTTGAGCGTGAACACAGAGCTGATGGCAGCGAATGCCATGCTGACGGCAGACACGTGAAAGTGACCCGGAGCCGAGTTACACAGGTCAGCAGAGCAGCACGTCTTCGTCATCTGGTATACCTGGGTGCTTGAGTTGGACGGGAAATTCACCTGTTCAGTTTTGTTGCATCTGGACACTTCAAGACATCCTTTTTTCTTAATATCCACTAATCCAGCTGAAATAGAGATGAAAGAAAAACAGATTAAGCTTCAAAATCCCATAAAAAAGGTGTTCAATGGCTTTTAAAGAGCATTAACTTACCAGCTTTCCCTACCCCGCTGTAGCAGTGCTCACCAGCCACACACGTCTTTTTGGTTGTAAAGCAAAGTTTCCAGAAACCCAGTTTACACTCATAACACTGCAGCGCCTGACCTGAGAGATAAAACATTCATGGAAAATGTAAACTGTCAGTAATGTGGTATCCATCATGAAATGTATTCAAATCTTACTGCAGTATAAAAAGTAATACACAGTTATTGAATGGCCTGTTTTGCACGCTTCTCACACTGATCAAATAAGGAACATAAGTAACATTCTCATCATTTCTCAACAACCCTATCTGCTCTGTGTGCTCTAGATTCTGCGAGTTATGTGAAGCACCTGAACTATTCACGTAACAAGAAGAAAAAACACTATAAAACCTTGCTGTACTGGTCTGGTTTCTTTGGCGCGATACTCAACTCTGCTAAATGATGTCATTCACAGCAGCAGAGAGATGAAGAATTGCACAGACATTTAAGCATGTAGTCAAGAGTTCATCTACAATATTAGTTCAGCCCAAAATACAGAAAGGCTGTTTCTAAATGTTGACTTTTGTAACCCATCGGTTGAGTGAGTGAGTGAGGAAATGTTGACAAAATTTTCATTTTGGAATGAGATAACACACACACACACACACACACACACACACACACACATGCAGAATCTGATCACGTAACAAGAAGAAAAAACACTATAAAACCTTGCTGTACTGGTCTGGTTTCTTTGGCGCGATACTCAACTCTGCTAAATGATGTCATTCACAGCAGCAGAGAGATGAAGAATTGCACAGACATTTAAGCATGTAGTCAAGAGTTCATCTACAATATTAGTTCAGCCCAAAATACAGAAAGGCTGTTTCTAAATGTTGACTTTTGTAACCCATCGGTTGAGTGAGTGAGTGAGGAAATGTTGACAAAATTTTCATTTTGGAATGAGATAACACACACACACACACACACACACACACACACACACACATGCAGAATCTGAATATAGCTGACAGTCTTACAAAAGAAAACAAAATCTCCACAGACTGGTTTCGGTCACACCCTGGGTGGAAGTTAAAGCCTTTTAAGGATCAGGGATTACAGGAGTGACCCTTCTTTCCACCACACCCACCCATGTTTATCTGGATCTCTATATGACAGCATTTCATTACATCAGGGATTCTTGTGCAGTAGTTTCTAGTTTTTTAAATAACAATTACAGACTAACCACTAAATAGACCAAAACCTTATTTACCTATATTTAGAAATCATTTTTTATCTTTGAGGAATTTTTTATTTTTTTTTGTAATCTAACTTTTTCATTCTGGAAAAATGTTTTCTCCCAACCTACAGCTACACTAACCCCCTGTCTACACACACATACACGTTCAAGTTTACACAGTGAAAACATACACATATCATATAGCAAATGCTCCATATTGTATAGTCAAGAATTGCAGTCACAGTTCACTAACAGGGTTCTGAAACATGAAACAGTTAAAGCAAACCATTCGAGTGGGTTAAAGGCAATCAAGGTGAAGAGGCTAATTGTCTGAACCATTAAACTCTTTCATCCACCACTTTGCTACACAATGAGTTACTACTGACTGAGATAAATAAACACATAATTTCTCCTTCTCCAACATGCATGATGATTCATATGTGCTTCAGGCTTATTTTTGGTTTTGTAAGATCTGGGCAAGCATTAACCTGACTTTGTGACAGTTCAGCTAATTATGATGTTCGTTCCTGCTTTCTGTGAAATGCCTTTCATAAATCCCTGCTGAACCTGTTTTCCACCGGATCATTTGATCTTCTTTAGAGCAGGCTGTAAGGGTGGGTGGAGGTTACAGAGACTTTGACACAGAAAGCTGCTTGATACTGTTCAGAACAAACAGTCCTTTGGTGACCAACCTAGCGGTTGCTGAGACAGCGTCGTCTCTTCAAGATTCCACGTTTCAATATGGAAAATGAAAGCCATGGAAAATGTGTTGGCAAACAGTTTTCCACAGTGACTCACAGTTTTGTGTAAAACGTTACCTGGTTTGTTTGTTCACAGTCAAACAGGGGTTAGCTAAAGAACACAGAGCGCTTCTGGAAAATTCTCACGGGAAATTCTGAAGATTTCTGTTTACTAAAACACTAATTGTGATAACGTATATACTGAGATATGTGAATGTGTTGCTGATAAGATCAGAATGCAGAGTGATTGAAAGCATGTCGCCCCAGGCTGCTGCCTGAAGGTGCTGCTTGCATTTCAGCAGCTGAATGTTATCAGAAGCATCAGACGATACATTTATTAGCATTTTTGCACTGCAAGGAGAGGAAGGAGTCCGGTTCATTAAATATACAATATATATCAAATATGAATAAATACTATAAAGTTAATTTGTTCATTATACATCTTTATGAGAGAATATAGCATTGGCAGGAACTTTATTTAACAAATAAGTACACATTTTCTACTCTTTGAGGACTGGATTGGACAAGCAACCCAAACTTAGTTTCATAGTGATTTTATGTTATTGTTTAGAGCAGGATTGCCCAGTCCTGTTCTATCTGAGTTCAGCTGCAGCCCGGATCTGACACACCTGTCTGTAATGATCAAGTGCTCCTGAAGATCTTAATTAGTTGGTTATGTTGTGTTTGAACCGGGTTAGAGCTGAACTTTGCAAAAAGATACACTGTAAAAAAATGGCAGCTGCTGGAATTTTACCATTATAAATTTGGGAACAACATTTTAGGTTTGAACTTAAATTTACAGTTAAATACCGTAATTTCATTAATTGATATAATGTTAATATACTAACCTAATAAAGTACTGAAATCTGTTTTGTACCTTTGTAATACACTGACATCCACCAAAAGCAAGGGGTAATGAGAAAGTAACATGATGAACCAAAGCACATCACAAGCAGCTTTTAGATAATAACATCGCTAGAAGGTGCACAGTGTGTCATTCACACAAACACTAAACACCATCACAGTAACACACATGAAACTGAAATAATGCAATAAACATTAATTTAACAACATTAGGTGTAACACACAACCCTAATATACAAAACTGATAAGAAAAAACTAAGAAGAAACATAGTTATTTCAACAAAAAAACATCAAATTTGAAATGTAACGCAGGGAATTCTGGGAATGTCAATTTACGGTTATTCACTGTAAATTATACGGTCTTTTCACTTCAAAAAATGGTATACTACCGTAAAATTAATGTGCAATACATATAATGTCCAATACAGTTTTTCACCGTATATAGTAGGGGAATTTACCGTTAATCATTTAACAGGTTTTTACTGTAGCATTTTTACAGTCTTTTACCGTTAAATTCACTGTCATTTTTTATAGTGTAGATTTCCAGGAACAGGACGGGCCAGCCCTGGTTTAGACTATATAACTATATTATAATTAAAAGGCCTTTTTCCATAATGACTGGGCTGTAAAATGGAGGAGTGAACATTTGTTAGTTACTGAGACAATACAAACAGTATAAAGCTTATCATACCCCTTGAGGCAACATGTTACATGGCCAAGAAAAACATCAGCTACAAAAAAAATCCACTTTTTATGCTTCTTTTTACTAGTGTATGCTTAAATAGTGTTGGTAATCTTTTTTTCTTTTTCTAAAGGGTAACTTATTTTTTATCTGATAACTGAATCAACAGCGCCCCCTGGTATAAACACTCGCTATATTGTTATATTGCTTGTTTTTTGAACCCATTTTCCCATGAGGATACTCTACAAATAATCCCTCAATTTGACAGAATGAGTGCATTTTCCATCATTTTCTGTTTTTATCTGTGAGAAAAAGAATGCATCGCCTGGTATTTGAAGGTGGCATTTGGTTTCACAAGAACATCTGGGGACAAAGAATGTTTTCTACTCTTTAAATCCTCACCTAGTCTTGTTCCCAGATTTGTCTTTACACAGGCACTTAATGTAAATGTAATTTTCTTCTGCTTTTCACTTCTAATTTATCTTACCAGTATGTCTGACTTAAATTTAAACCTAAAATTGGTAGGGACAAGTCCATCCTTAACCAAATCTCTCTGAATGACTAGCACTGCAAAAGACTCAGTGTTTGATAATGAAGTGCAAATGATGAAGTGTACTTAGTCCTAATGTACGGAAATGTTATGTGCTTTTGGGTGTGTGATAATCTGCAGTTAGGCAGATATTTAGTTGAGACCTTCTGTGTTTCCCCCCCCCCAGTTCTCATTTCAGCCAAGAAAACGAGCAAGAACCAAAAAACAAAGTGAGATTACATTACATTATCTAATATGATCCAAGATTTTAAAACTACAGAGCTGTGGTCTAAAAGCAAACTGACTGGTTCATCAGTGGGCAAGTTCTGCCATGTTCTTTTGCGAACTGGGTGGGTCTCTCTGCCTCAAGCTAACCTGTGTCTCTCTCAAAAACAAGCACACATCCACAAGTGGGCAAGAGCATGAATAAACCAGCTTTCCCAACACAATATTCTAACAAGTTACATTACTGCATTATTAAGAAGAAAAAGAAGTTCCAAAATCCAGAATGTTCCTTTTCAGAAGCTTGATGAAGACCCAAATCATTAGAAGCAATACTTTAATACTCATAGGAGAATGACTCATAAACCACAGACTTCTAAATTTAATATGTTCGTGACTCACATCCCTATGTCCCACAATGACTGGAATAATGTGCAATGAAAGTAGCTCATTCCTCACACACATAAGCCAACCAGAAATAAGCAACAAATAATCTACAATAACAATTGATCTACAATTGTAGTTGGTATTCAAAGTTACATTCACAGTGTGAACTAATTACATATCGTTTAGTACACTCTACAAAATGCTGGGTTGTTTTAACCCAACTTTGGGTCAAATATGGACTAACCCAACTGTTGGGTTAAATTTTTCAATTACATTTTTAACCTAAAAATTGGGTTAGTCCATATTTGACCCAACGGGTTAAAACAACCCAGCATTTTGTAGAGTGTAGGCTTTGCCACGAAGGAAAATAATACCAAATCTGTATCTTACCCATTGCGAAATAAAGCGCAACTGCAAAGATTCCGAGCAAGAGTTTGTTCATGTTTCCTGATGTTTGTGAGCGGAGTTGAAGCAGAGGACCGTTAGACTCTCGTCAGACTGCAGTGATCCGCTAGATTTATAGATCCACACCCAAAGCGCCGCCCGCTATACGCGTCCAAACAAGGAAGCGATGGAGCGCAGCCCTGCGGGTACCTGAGTCTCCAGGGCGCGGTGCACATTACATCCCCCCATAACACCGCTGCTGTCTGAAAACACTCCCACACATCACAGCCCCTTTTTGTTGAGGGAATGTCGAAATGAGCATAGAACGTCACCAACGTTAGTTCTGTCAACTTCATTAATATTAATATTCGACCATGGGCTGTTAATTAAGGGCAGCCGCTGTTCCTCTGAAGGGGCAGGTGGGTAAGTGCCCCACCAAAATATTCATCCACTTGAAAGCATACAACTAAATTGTTAACAAATGAACAAACCTTGCAAACGGGTCATTCTTCATTTGCCGTGGCGCTCCTAAACTTTCCAAAAGTTTAAATAAAACGTTAAACAGTCCTTCTAATAAATCATCAAATGTTTGCATAGCCTATATGTATCGTGAGGGCGAAAACAAACTCTTAAAATTTTACTTTTTTAGTTTTTAAAATATATATTTAATTACGTTTTCATGTGTAACCAAATCTGCATGTTCTCAGCATACATCACAGGGGTATTATGGGATGTGATTTCATTTATTTATTTGTATTTATTCATGTGTATTTCACAGTTAGCGTTGTTACAATGTAAAGATTGGATTTAACAAACAATTAAATTAAATGTTTTATAAAATAATTATTGTATTTTTGGTGTTAATTGGTGTTGTTAACAGTGAAATTAAGAAAAGGAGTAATTCTGTTGGGACTACCTTCTGTGTAAAAGCCATTGCCAGTGATGGTTAATTTGAAGGGTGCATGCGAGTTTATTCTTTCTTATCCATTTTCATTAATTGTGCTACATTTCTGACAATTTGACGTGTAACACTTTATTACAGTGGTGTTTCAGTATCTGTCAGCTCCGTTTTTGAAAATCGTGACATTCTACTAGAAGCTTTTTAAGCTATGCTGTCATCTTGTGACTTTGATTAAGTCACTGTTAGGGAGGCCAAAGGTTTCATTGTTTTCTGATCACAAATTTCTCTTCTTCTTGGATCTGTATATTTAAACATTCCCATTTTGACATTCTCTATGCACAGCTTCAAAAGCTTTATATTTCAACAAATTCCAGATCAGCTGCATTCACACAAAAGAATATGTATTGTGTTCATCAACTAACAGTCCTAAAAAGTAAAAACTAGAGAGGAACTCTCAACAGAGCCACATCACAGTTCTGAATGGTAAAGTCTTTCCCTGTATGTTACACTGATTAAAGTTTTCCACCTTTGTATCTAAGCAGACAGAGTTTGTAAATGCATGGATATAAATGTTATATTTTACATCATTTATCCCAGTGTCTTGGGCCACATGTGGAGGAGACACTGAGATAAATGATGTAAAATATAACATTTATATCCATGCATTTACAAACTCTGTCTGGTTAGACTCCAGCATCCCTGCAACCCTACACTTCAATACACAACAACTAGACAAGGCAAACATGAGAGCTTAAACACGTGACAAAAGGGAACATATGACAATGATAAGCAAAGAGAACATGACACTTGAACTGGGGAAGCACATGAGGGTGGAGGAACAGAGGAGGACCAGGGGAGGATTGGAAGGCCAGGGGCCTCATTTATAAAATGTGCGTACGCACAGATTTGATCTTAGAGTGTGTGTAGGCTAAAATCCACGGCAACGTTCATATTCATAAAAACGGGCTTTGAGGTGGAAAAGTACTTACCGCCACATCAGGGTCTGAGCAGGCGTACGCACTTTTCCTTGTGGCAAAGTCGGAGTACTGCAGCTATTTGAACATAAGCTGCAATAATAATTAAAGCGGTGTACGTGCAAGCACCGAATTCATCATAAACAACAAAGATGCAGTGTGAGAGATTAATTGTGCTGTGTAGTCAGATTTTTTATTAACGGGAGTTTTTGCGAGATTAATCTGACCTTTTTAGTAGCCTAATGTTGAGAGTTCTTTACTCGCTCTCTGTACACAGTTTATTCCATGCGTTTTTATTATTATTTTATTTTACAAGAGAACTTGCGAAGTCTTGATTTACTACTAATGCGTAAAATAGAAAAAAAATGCATAAACGCATCTCCGACTGTTTTGTCTGTGTGGCCTATCATAATAGGCCTATGTCATGTAATAACGGTTTTAATATATTCTATTGAATAACATTGTTAACAGTTTTTATTTATAACATCTGCTGCTTTGCTTCTGTGAAAATGAATAGAGACATCAGCCTTAAACTTTGTTTTTGTCATTTACATCAGTTATATTTGTATAAAATAGCCTACACTATATATTTTTGTGTCAGTACATTAATGGCACATTTGAGCAGCATTAGTAAACTGTGTAAATATAAAGAAATGCCAAATCACATTCAGACCGTAATCGTGTAATAATTTATTTAACTATTGATATTTCAATAATGTTTTTTAAAGTTTTGCAAGAATTTCGTGATACTAAACTTTTTATTAGTTGTCATAGCAAGTGATTTTAAAAGTAGGATGGCTCACTTTATAAGATGAGCAGTAGTTTTCTTACTTTTGGAAACCTAATTGTTTTATAATTACTACTATTATTATTTTTATTATTATTTCTGTTGTTTCTAGACGTAGTAATTTTGATAATAGTCAATAGAAAAAATATAACCACACACACATTGTTTGTCCGCAGAATAATTACACATTATTAAATAAAAAGCGTCCTCTCACGAACCTTTACCTCCGCCAGCAGGACCTCGATTTCAGACTCAGTCAAAGTCATTCTCAAGCATAGAAATTCTGATATTGGCGTGTGCTCTTTTATATGGTAATGATATTAATGATATAAACCAGTCAGCTGCACACAATTTCAAGATCAATTGCGATTTATAAATGTCACATCTGGAAGAAAGGCGTACACGCGTGTTTCTGTGCGTACGTTCGTTTTCTCTGAATCACACTTATGCACTTTTGAGAAATGGATCTTATAACAAATTTAGGACAGTTTATATGCAATATTTTATAAATGAGGCCCCAGATCCATGAAGCGGAGGAGGATCATGGCCTGGACCATGGAGCAGAGGAGCCCTGGGGCTGTGGAGAAGCAGGAGACCACGGCGGAGCTCACGATCCCCCTGGCAAAGCCATAACAGAGCAACTGGTCCATGGTTAGCCGTGTATTCTGTATTCTGCTGACATGGAAGCACATGAAGACAATATCCCTTTTCACACAGTATTACAAGTAAATTGCCGTAAAAATTCCAGGAATGAATTTAAAAATGTGCTGTTCACACAGGCAGTGACATTCAGTCGTTTTAACAGTAAAGCACTGTTCACACATCGGTTTCAAAATACCGGTAAATTCTGAGACATCATTTACCAGAAATGAGCTCTAAACGGCTGCGCCCAGGGTTACCAGGTTTTCACAAAACCCGCACAACTGCTACTCAAAATTAGCCCAAAACTAGCCCAATGGCGGATCCCCAGTAAAAAGCACGTTCCGGGGGGTAAAATACAAGTGTTTTTGGCAGGGTTCCCCTGGTAAAATTCACAATCCAGGGGCTAAATATCACGTTATTGTGGTCGCTTCAGAGCGTTCTTAACTTGTACATGTTCATACCGGCAATCTTCATTCTGCGTTCACACACAGCATCATTCCGGCAATTTTCTGGTGGTGTTACAGCGTCTTATACCGGTAAATTCATTCTGCCAATGTTTTTCTGAAAAGGTCCTGTTCTCACATGATCTCTTAACAGTAATTTACCAGTAAAATCTGTATGTGTGAAAAGGGCTAATGGTGTAGAAGACCCAGGTGCAGTTTATTACTTCAGTTTAATAAGTTGATTATTCAAAAACTTGAAACATGAGATAAACATGAAACAAAAACTTAAACATGAACTAAGAATGTAACTTGGCTGATAAAAATAACCTGATATGTGAAACATCAAAAAAGCATTACGTACTTCAATACACAACAATTAGACAACATATTACTATGACAACTAAACATGACACATGAACAGGGGAAGATCACACGAGGGCATGGGAAACACATGACAAACTAGAAACAAGGCTGTGACTAAACCTCAAAACCGAAGACTTGAAATATAAGCAAAAGCAAAACCTTAAACAGACATGACAGATTAGCTGTGTTTAATAAGGGTTGAAGCTAAGCTCTGCTGGAAGGTAGGAGCCGGATTGAACACCCTCACAGTAGTGATTTTTAAAATTCAGACCATGATTGCATCCAGTCAGGGATTTAGAACACATTGTTTTCATGTGTCACACGTCTCCTAGCAACAAGCCACATGTTTATGTGTGTCTGTTGTGTTTAGAATGACTAATGTTGCTCCTCACATGCATGTCTTTATTTTGTGGAACACAAAAGCAGACCGACTATTCAGTCTCTCTCATTTATTTATTTAATAGAAAAACATATGGGATGATGTGAAGTGAAAGCTGATTGAGACTGTCAGTCTTTAAACACGCTATATTACACCTGTTTTTGTGTTCCACAGAAGGATCATAGTCATACAGGTTTGGGAACAAAAGTGTGACGTCTCATCTTTTGGTAAACTATCTATTTATTTTCTAATTTAGAGACTATAATGGCTTATAACAGGCAAGTAGAAAGTGTGTTGATTGTCTAACATTGTAAAATAAGCAAAGCAGTTTTACTATTTTTATTCAACATGACTTTGATGAGAAAAAAGATATTGGATTGTTGAGCATTTCAATGGCGAAAAGCAATTTATGTTGATTGTATGTCAGTTTGCTACCTAAATTTCAGTAACTCATGTAACTCATGAAAACAAGCTGTGAACTGAAGTCCTTTTAGGGATTCCCTGGAAGCATGTGTAAAGCATAATCGGTAATTTAGTTTTCCAGGAAAATCATGGAAATAACTTTCTTTTGCAGTGTGCTAAGAAGCAGTTCAAGCTGTCATTTGTATGAAAGGCACTCAAGCCCTTACTAATTCTATGCCGTCATTATAGAACTATTCCATAAAGCTTGTGCAGGTTTCTATGTAGATGTACTGGGGAGAGAGGGAAAGCTATAGAGATGTTCTCCCAGAAGAACATTACAGCCTGACAAT